AGATAACATTACAGACTTGGGCATTTTTTAGGAAAAAAAAAGTGCTCCAGTACAACCTTAATAAAGGTGAGAATAATCTGGCAGAGAAAAGAGTGCCCCCAGAAATGCATCTTCCTGGAAACAGTAGACTTTGAACATGATTTAACTTCCCATGGTAGTTCCTCCATCACAAAGATTTTAGTTGGATTTAGGCAATCTTGAATGGAGACTTCCAATTGTCCTATCATTCTGTCAAGGCGATCTCCTTCCTTGTGCACAATTCCTGGAAACAGTTCTGTCAGGAGTGTATCTATACTTAATTAAGAATAGTGATAATTATGTGCTGGGAAATGTAAATAAATGACGCATTACTTTCACACGTGCTGATCTTTGATTATGTGTCAAAAGGAACCAAAACAACTTGGTTGTCAAGGCATAGAATAGTTTTAAAATGCTAAGTGATTTGTTTGGTTCATTTGTTGTTGACTACAGGCAGCAACAGCCAAGTCCTCTCCCACAGGTAGGCAAGAGATGTGACACAAGTTTTGCAGGAAGCACAGCGTGTTGGTCAGAGGGTGATTTCACTCAAAGCCCCAACACCTCCTCCTCCCTCCACTCCTACAAACTCCAGAACTCCGCATGCTGTATGAACAGAAGCAGCTTGAGCCTGCAGCAGTACGCATCTAAGCCCACTCAGGTAGAGCTATATACTTTCACTGAATGATCACCGCTGTCTAAAACGACGAGGGAATCGTCTGCCGTGTAAGTCAGTCCAACGGGATAAGCAAGCCCGTGGCTAATTAGAGGATTAAAGATGGGAAATTCCTCAGGTTTTCCCAAGCATATGACAGCCTGGCTACAAACATCCGTTACTATAACACGACCTTCTCTGTCAAAGGCCACAGCCGTGGCATATATTCTGGAGGGGAAAACGAGGTTCAGACCGAAGCTGTCCACCTGGCCGATGAGATCCATCTCCGCACTGAGTATGGTCACTCGGGTGCTGCCCTTGCTCGGTCCCCGAGGTCTCAGGTGCTCTATCACCACGACAGCACCCGAGGTGGGGCAGACTGCGACCGCCCTGGGGCTGACAAGCTGGGACCGGATCATCTGGCACTTCTTTAATTCCCCCCTTTGGAAGTCGGCCGCCAGGCGGTACAGCGCGCCTGCTTCCGAGTCGGTCAGGATTACTTCGCTCCTGGGGGAGGCATCCAAGCCCCAGGGCAGACGGAAGCCTTCCCGGACAGCCAGGACTCCCCTTCCCTCAGAATCGAAAGCCTTCACGGAGCAGTCCCCGCCGTCGGTGACCACCACGTGCCCGTCCGACGTGACCGTCACATCCAGCGGATACTTGATGTCGTTGCTCGCGCCCCCCCGCTCCCCGAACCGCCGCAGGCAGAACCCGCTCGGCCCGAAGACGTGGATCCTCTTCTTGCCGTCGTGTGCCACTGCCAGGCCGCCCGGCCCGGGGCAGGCCGCCACGCCGGTGGGGTTCACCAGCGACCCCCAGCCCCCCAGGCACAGCCGCAGCCCGAGCCCCGCGGGGGCCGCCGCCCCTCCGCCGCCGCCGCCCAGGGCCGAGGCGAGGCCGCGGCCGGCGGGGCGCAGCAGCTCCAGCAGCTGCAGCAGCGGGAGGCAGTCGCTGGTCTCGGCGGGGCCCCAGAGCCGCCGGCAGAAGGGACACTCCAGCCGCTGGCGCTCGGCGCCGGCCAGGGCCCCCACGCAGCCCCGGCAGAGGACGTGCCCGCAGGGCAGGTTGAGCGGCCGCCGCTGTCCGTCGGGGCCGTACGGCTCGAAGCACACCCGGCACTCCAGCAGGCTCAGCTCCGCCTCGTCCTCCGCCGCCATCCCCGCCGCAGGAGAGCCACCGGAGCCCCCGCGGCGGCCCCGGCGGCCCCGGGCCCAGCGGGGCGGGCGCGGAGCGCGCTGAGGCGGCCGCGCGCCCCCTGCGGGCCAGCGGGGGCGGAGCAGGGCCCGGGCCGCCCTTCCCGCCGGGAGCGCGGAGCGGCCGTGTGCGCGCCGCGCGTGCATCCGCCAGTGCATCCAAAACCCACCAGAATATTCACACAGCCACCAGATTCTTACAGACGTCCCGTCATCAAGTTACCGTACCCCTACTTCTCCTAATGTCCCTGCCAGGGTAAGGAATTAAGCCACAATTTCACAGAATCATGGACCTTGATGATTATCTAGTTCCAATGCCCCTCCCATGGGCAGGGATGACCAGAATAGACCAGGTTGCTCAAAGCCCCATCCAGCCTGGCCGTGAACTCTTCCAGGGATGAAGAGTTCTGCACCTTCTGTGGGCAATCTGTTCCAGTCTCATCACCCTTGCGCTAAGGAATTTATTGTTAATATATCACCTAAACCTATCCTCTGTCAGATTTCCCCTTGTCCTGTCACTACATGCCCTTGTGAAAAGTCTCCAGTTCTCCTGCAGGCCCTTCAGGTAATGGAAGGCTGCTCTAAGGTCTCCACAGAGCCTTCTCCAGGCTGAACAATCCCAACTCTCTTAGTCTGTCTGCGTAGGAGATGTACTCCATTTCGCTGAGCATCTTGGTTTCATTGGATTTTCCTGCTGTTCTGGCAAAATTTTGAAAATATTTACATTCATCACTAGTAGACACATTTCTCAGGTACATACATACATTTCTGTAAGGTGCATGGACAACATGTGCTCCTTCTGCTAGGTGTATTTACAGGGTATTTTCAGAGTAGTTGCAGGGTACACACAGATTTTACACATCCTAAAATGGCTATTTTGGCATATGGCGTTGCTCTTGCCAGGCTGTTGCATGCCTGGGAGTCCTGTGCAGGACACCACAGAGCATGTGGCAGCCTCGTGCCAAGCGCCTGGCCCTTTGCAGCTATCACATATCTCAAAGTCTGAGATAAACTTCAGGAGCTCTCATGTTGCATCCGAAAAAAACTTGAAAGGAAGGAGATGCTTTAACCTGGTAGCTGCAGTACTGGCCAGGAGTGAAAACAAACAAAACCAGCAGCTCCCAGCTTGCACTGGCCCATTGGCTACACCTTTCTTGTCTCCATCAACCTAGCCTCAAAACACAAGTATCTACAAGCAATATTGAGTGTTCCAATGAGCTGTGGGCATGGGGACTGCTGTGCTAAGACCAGCAGACCCATTTGCAGCTCTAGGACTATGGCACTCTAAAAAGCCCCATGGCTTGTACTTGCCTTCTATTCTTGATGAATGATACACTGCATTGCAATCATACCTTTCCTTTCAAAATAAGCTGCGAAGGGGAGAAGTCACTGTGCTCTGTCAACTTCAAATACTTCTTGTATTGAGATGGAACTTCCTGTGTTTCAGTTTGTGCCTTTTGCTCCTTTCTCCATCTCTGGGCACTACTGAAAAGTCTTGTCCCATCCTTTTGTCAACTGCCCTTAAAGATAAAGGACTGATGGTCACTTCTCAGTTGCCTCCTCTCCAGGATTAACAATGCCTCTCTCAGCCTTTCCTCATAAGCAATATGCTCCAGTCCCCCAGCCATCTTTATAGTCCTCTGCTGGACCTACTCCATGTTGAGATTTCTCTTGTACTGAGGAGCCCTGAACTCGACACAGCACCCCAGATGTGGCCTCACCAGGGCTGAGTAGAAAGGCAGGATCACCACCCTCGACCTGTTGACAACACTCTTCCTAATGCACCCCAGGATGTCACTGGCCTTTTTGGCCACAAGGGCACACTGCTGGCTAACTTGTTGACCATCAGGACTCCCAGGTCCCTCTCCACAGAGCTGCTTTCCACCAGGTCAGCCCCCAGCCTGTGCTGGTGCCCTGGGTTTTTCTTCCCCAGATGCAGGACCCTGCACTTGCCTTCTCTCAACTTCATTAGGTTCCTCTCTGCCTGGCTCCTGTGCCTGGCCAGATCTTGCAGCATGGCTGCAGAGCACTGTGCTGTGTCACCCACTCCCCCTAATTTTATATCATGATCAAACTTACTGCAGGTACCCTCTGTCCCTTCATTCACGTCACTGATTAATAAGGTGAACAAAACTGGACCCAGTACTGACCCCTGGGAACACTGCTTGCTAAAGCCCTCCAACTAGCCTGATCACAACACTGAGCTCTGCCACTCAGACAGTTCTCAATCTACCTCACTGGCCACTAACCTGGACTGTTTCCCCAGTTGAATCCATGTTGACTATACCTGATAACCTTCTTTTCCTCCACTTGCTTAGAGATGACATCCAGGATGGGTTGTTCCAAGGATGAAGGTGAGATTGACTGGCCTACAGTTTCCTAGCTCCTCTTTCTTGCACTTTTTCAAGACTGGAGTGACATTGGTGTTCCTCCAGTCCTCAGGCACCCCTCCCGCACTCTGTAACCTTTCAGCTATGATGGAGAATGGTTTAGCAATAACATTTGCAGCTCTCTCAGCACTCCTTGAACCCTCTTACCCAAGTCGTGTTAGTTTGCTTGCCCATAGCTGCACTTTCTAATGAGGGAGCAGGACACTTGTGAGCAACTGCCAGGACATTTTCCACCAATACTCTCCCCTCTCCCTGTCATCCAGTCTATGTCCCTCCAGCTTTTCTTGCTGGATGGTAATTGGAAGCTGCTACCTTGCCTTGCCCACTCACTGCCAGCCCTTCACTTGACATATATTCACAGGGATAGAGAGAAGCAACTTGCAGCAGCTTCCCACTTCTCTCTGCCCAGCCTGGTGCAGTGTCCCATAAAACAGTGTTTGAACTGCAGCTGCCACACTCCCAGGGCTGCCAGCTGATGAGGCTGAGTTGCAGAGTGCCAGGCAGACAACATTGACCAGCAATGGCTGAAAATGAACAGGAACATTTCTTTCTCACAGCTCCCATGATTTGGAAGAAAAAGGTATGCTTTGGTAGTGGCTGTTTGTGCATGGAGTTTAAGAAAAGCTGTTCACATCTCAAGGTAGTAAAGGTAGATGTGTAGGAGAGCTGAATTGGTAAGCAAAATGCACAAAACTCCTGCTTTAAGAATGCCCGATTTTAAAATGTGAGATACAAGAAAAAGCAAGGTGGGAGGCAAGTTATTTTAATAAATTTTAATCAAGCTACAAACTTTAATAGATATAGCACCTCCAGAAAATAATCTAGTCCCCATTGTCTGTGCTTCTCTGAGAAGTCATCAACTTTTTCAAGACACTTAATTTCACAGCAGTTGCCTGAAAAGGAGGCAAGAATAACAAATTAGTGAATGATTAGTCAATGAAAAATGCAAATTGTCCAGATAAAACCCCAAAACTTATCCACAGATTTCTCCACAGTGCCTAACACAGTGACATAAATGAGGAAAACTTAATTGATCTCTTTTGCACTGGGATGCAACTGTCTATGCCAATGACTCACTGCACAAACACTGCCAGAGTCTCAGAAAGTTGTAAATTTAAAAGCGAGATATTACAGCACATCAGGAGGAACTCCTAAAATTAAATTCCTGACATAGCTCCAAATTTCATTATTTTGATGGATTTGAGTTGTACATTTCTAGCATTTTCTTTGAGTACCGTTACTTTTCTTCTTTGTCACAAAAGTACAGTAGAAACTGTAGTAGTGGTAGGACTTGTATTAAAACCAGGGCAACTGGTTGATGAGGTTCAGGCAAAGTGAGAATGATCAAACAGGACTCTAAGATTGCAGCTACAGGATTACTGAGTGTATTATGAATCCTGGGAGAATAAAAAGGTGCCAAAGGGAGACAAGAAACTCTTTGACTCTTGGGTGTTCTTCTTATCTTTTGAAGAACTGAGAATTTTCCATGACAGCAAAATCTCTGTGGCTAAATCATATTTATTTTTCCCAGTATTTTTGCATGACTCTAGCCTTTAGATAAGAAGCAAATGACTTTATCATTCATCACAGGGCAAGGTAAAGGCACATAAACATCTTTATGCGTTTTGAAAAAAGTTCCTAAGGGTTAGGTGAAATTTTACTCACCAAACAAACTTTTAATTTCAGATTCAGGAACATAAAACGGTGGCCCTGAAAGGAAAGAGAGGAGACGTGGGAAGAAGACAAAATTTACACTGCAGTACGAGAGCCAACCCCTTCACTCACAGCACCTGGCCTGTAATGGGGCCCCAGGGTGTAGCTCCATCAGCAGGAGCCAGAAAACATGACCAGAAACTCATGGCACCTTGGTGGGCCAGACAGCTTCAGGTGTTGCTGCTGCTTCATCTCCATCTGCAGCAGGGAATCATGAATGTGACATGGATATGATCACTCTCTGTGCTGTATGAATTCAGTTTACAATCTCTTTATACTACAGTGGCATGATTAAGGCTAAGAGCTGAACATTGTCAGAGGGAAAGTAATGAATTAAACTGTTCTTGCTTGTGATAGCAAGACCTATTTTTTGGGGGGATAATTATGCTGAAGTACCCAAAAGCAGAAAAAGATCTCTTTCTTTTGTGAGTTAATATTAACTAAAAAAATCTCCTACTTCAGTACATAATACAAAAACAATAAAAGGAAAAGTACCCTATGATTTTACAGATTTTCACGTTTTCCAAGTACATTCAGAGTGTGGTAGTGGCTGAGAGAGACGCACGAGATGGGCAACACATTGGGTTGCAAATACTGGATAAACAGCATGAAACTGATATTCTTGGGAGTGTTTCAAGCTCCTGAGGCCAGACAGGATGTTACTAAGTGCTCTGACTTCCAGCTTCATTGTAGCAGCCACATTTGCAGTTTCATTTCATTGTTAACATACCATGACTGTCCTCAACTTAACTTTAGCATGTCTGAATGCTAGAGAAAACACAAATTTAGTCCTAAGCTTGATCAAAATCAAAACTTTTTAACACACAGTTATACTGGTGTCACCTCTAACAAAGCTATGCAGCTAAAAATCTTGGGGAAGATACTAATACATCTACTATATCTTTATACAATTTGTATTAGAGGAAAACCACAATATAAACAGTACAAAGTTCTCACCTTTGTGTTTGTTTGGATCATATGAAACTGTAACAAGGAGATAAGAAGAATTTTTCTCCACTAGGTTGATCATCAAACTGGCATAGCTAAAAGGAAAAAAATAGACTTTATTATTTTTGTAAAGAATTCAAGCATAGCATTCAAAATATTCAATAAAATGCATTTATTTCTATGCAGACAGAATTTTAACTAAACTGCACAGAGACTAAGCAAAACTTAGTTTAAATTTTAGGAGCATAAAAGTCATGCTACACATGAAAAACATAAAATAAAGGTTATATTTATTCCTCATGATTATTTATCTTTTTTTGCAAATTCGACTCAAGATTAACAGACAAGCAAAGTATTCATCTGCCACAGTCTAGAATATAGTACACAGTACAGTACTTATCTTTTAAAAATATTGTGAATTGAAGATTCTATATCTAATTAAAAAATACTGGGAGCAGGTTCAAACTAAATTTGGGCTGGCTATAGACAAGAACAAAAATTTGTAATCAAGGAGAGTGAGGGGGAAAAGAACAAAGACAGAAGAAGCAGATGTGGTGAAAAGGAAATAATAGAATTCAGATGAGGCTTGCAGTCCTGCTTCTGCTCAGTTGGAACAAACCACATATTTTCCCACCAAGAGGCAGGGTGGCTTCCTGAAGGAAGAGGACAAGACTCTGCAACTGCAGCAGAGAAGAGGAAGGTAGAAGAAGCAGGTAGAGAAGAATTGTGAAGGTTGGTCCTTTAAATGAAAAAGGACTCATTAACAAGTCACAGGATCAAAAACTTGTTACTGATACATCAGAGAAAAGACAGTAACAATGCAATTTACTAACCGTTGTCTGTCACATGGATTCACGGCTACAAGAGCTCCTCTGTCCCAAACCCCATCAAACTTGCCAACTATTGAACTATAAGGAGATAAGGAAAAGGCTTAAAAACAGTAAAAAGGGACCTTCATCTTCTTTCAGGCACTTTTGTGAGGTCACAAGGATTCTGCAGCTAGTGATGCAGATTCCCCACCACCTTTTTGTTATGGTGCAGCATTTTCATAATCCAAGCCAACAGGATACTGAAGTCAAGAAACCCTCCTGATTCTTTGTCCTGCTGCAAAGAGGTGTGGGGTAGTGAAGAGGTGTGTGAATAGGTCACTGCTGGCCCATTGTTAGGGGCTGCTGAGACACAGCAGGGAGGAAGGAATGTAGTTTTAACACATTTGGGCTACAAGTCTGGGTGTTCAGTAGCCACATCCTTCTGTCTAACATGCCTTCAGTACATCAACAGCTCTTGACCATCTTCTAAAACCCATGCATGATTTCATATGCAGGCTAAGGAAGGTGTCTTGTTTTTTTACTGTCATTGACTCAGCACATTCAGTAACTTTAGCCACCTGAATTCCCAGCTACATGCCCAGGACAGTAAGCTTCAGCTTGCAATTTATTTAATGCTAGAAAGCTAAGTTACACTGCTGCTTGCCTCAGTGCAACTCTGCTGCAGACACTAGTTTTGGTCCTGGATATGCTGGCAGATGGCTTCAGTGGCTACCCAAAGCCTGCAAGTGAGCAAGACTATCAAGAAATGCCTTTATTAATGGATGGTAAGAGCAGCCAGAGCAACACAAAAGAGTATCTGGGAATAAGAAAGAGCCTTGGTTTTGGTATTATTAAAATCGGAGGTTAGACAGTAAGGTAGTAATAAAGTAAATTGTGTCATTTAAAAGAAAATTTGAATAAGTTTACTTAGAAAAATGTGGCATGGAATTGTGCAATACCCTTCTGCCTACTGGGCAGGTGTCCGAGTCCAATTGAATCACATCTGTCTTCATTTCTGTACAGGTTTTGGCTAGGGTAGAGTTACCTTTCTTCACAGTAGCTTCCATGGGTTGGTGGATTTCGGCTTGAAATCATGTTGGTAACACACTGGCAATTCAGTTATTGCAGAGCAGCACTTACAAAGCACCAACACCTTTTCTGCTCCTCCCACCCTGACACCAGTGAGTAGGCTGGAGACCACAAGAATAAATGAGACACTGGGTGGGAACGCAGCAGGCACAGCTGACCCCAGCTGAGCAAAGGGATATTCCAGACCATCTGGCTCCATTTTCAGCAATAAAACTGTGTGGGAGGTTGGTGGATGGAAGCACTGCTTGGCTGCTGGCTTGGCATCAGTTGCTTGGTTGGTGGTGGGCAACTGCTGTCATTTGCACTACTTGTTTTTCTTGGGTTTTATTTTTCTCTTTCTTTGGTTGTTCTTTTTTGTGTAATTTTTTTCCTTACAACCTCTTGAAATTTATTTTTAATTATTAATCTGTTTTCATCTCCACACGTTTCTTTCTTACTTTTACCCTTTTGATTGTCCCCTGTCATGAGACGATGGGAGAGTGGGCAAGCAGCTGTGCGGTTCTTAGTTCCACCACCTTAGCCAGAGTTAAGCCATGAGAACTTCTCTCTGCCCAGTGCTATTTTCATTGCAATGACATTGCTAAGCCTCTGGCATCTAACCTACAAGCTGAACTTGTATTTCCACTCTACTGCGATGAGACATGATAAAACTTTCAAGTGCTGACTTCTTTTAAAGTTTGCCAAGCCTAAGCATCTAATTTAAATAACCAGCCTTGCAACTGAAAAGAGATTTTTAGAGACAGTTAAATGAGCAATGGGCATACAGGGCACAAAGGAGAGTTTCATGGGGTAGGTGACAATCTTGATCTTCTGAGGCTTGGAGGCACTTCTCTGTGTAGCTGAGTCTGCTGAGTGACCTCAGGCAAGCCATTGAGGTTTTCTGCACTTGGTTTTTCTTTCCAACTTTAATCTGGTCAAACTGGAATGGCAGCAGTGGCTCCAAACATGCATTTCATGTGCTTTACTCCCAAGCAATTTCATCACGGCCTACAGACATCCCAGGCTGCAGGAAGGCTCATGCTGTGGCCTTGTCCCAGTCCTGGTCTCTTAGCTGCCCAGATCTCAGGACCTGCTGAGTGTCTGGGTGCTCCCTGTACCTCTGGACATCCAATTTCCTTCACAACACAATGAAGCCATGAGGAAACAGTCAAAAAAGGCACACAGCTGTCTTTCATCCTGATTTGGAGTCAGGATGAAGATAAGGTGTGAGGAAGAGCTTTCACTATAACATGCTGCTATGTGTTTATACAGCATTCAGCATGGGTTAGGTACTACTACATATAGAGAAAAATCTAACATGTAAATCAGAAATTCACATATTGCAGAAAACCCACTAAATTTAAGAGGAAACTTGTGAATTTCTATCTCTGCATATGTTTAGTAGTTTCAGTAAATGCAATTTTTGATTTTCTTTTGAAGTCTTGTAGCCATAATTGTATTAGGAGGTACAGTGATTGTGTAATATAACTATTTTACATATGTCCCAGAATTCCCAGAAAGAGCAGTAATTCCTGTTACTCTTTAACTACCAAGAGTCTTTGAAATGTCCCATTCTGACAAAGGTCAGGAGCACATTTGAGTTTTCTTCTAATGAATGCTAGGAGATGAAAGGGACCTGCCTCAGCAAGAGAGAAATAAGTTTAATTTCCATAATTACTGTGTAATTAATCAAATTGTCTGTACACAGAAACTAGAAGTGTGTGCATTTTTCTAGTCACAGGTATCTGCTGACTGATGTTGGGAATACAGTTCATTCTGCATCCAGAATGTCTATCCGCCAATTTATTTTGTGATGACAAACTATGTACTGGATCCAGTGATATGCACTGAAATTGTCACTAACTACCTATTTTTTTTTAATTTCAATGTATTATTGCACCATGTTGTGATAGAAGTTACAAGTTTCACCACACTACTTGCTACAAAACTTATGACTGAGTTTTTCAAAAATTTCTGGGAAGCTTAAGCAATCATTGGGCAACTTGTCAACTCACAGCAAGAAAGATCAAAAGTACCTACAGAGTAACAAGTAACTACACTGGAGAGACAAGGCAGGTAAGAAACCAGGCAGTAGCTACAAAATCACATTCATACACACCCCTTCTGTTGGACACTTTACAAGACTAGTTACATATATGCACCAGTCAAACAGACTGGAGTCAGCTGCAGCAGCAGGAGGCACAATCATGGTCTACTGTCTGAAAGACCCTGGACTCTAGTAATACATAGTCTTTTCTTCAAGTGTTTTGGCAGATTGAAAAAAAAAAAAAAAAAGAAGATCATATAGTAAACTCTGTGTTCTGGTGTCCTGAACTACCTATTGCACTTGTATGTACTAGTTCTGGAAATCCCAGACTTTTCCTCCTTCCTACTGAAGAGCCATGGCACAAATTCTTGTGCCTGACAGTTGTTTGTAAGAAGAGCAAACAAACACAAAAAAGTCACCAAAACCTTATTATCTCTTTACTAAGTTACTCTGAGTAAGAGGTTGTGTTAAAGTTTTGCTTCATAGAATTCATCAGTAATGTTAAAGATAATTTGGTTTTACTGTAAAAGCAAAAATGCTTTTTGATAACTTTCACAGAATGGCTTGGAATAAGAAGCCCCCTTAAAGATAATTAGTTGTCATCCTTAATGATTAACAATGGAACTAGACTTTTGTTGGAGATTAGCCATTCAAATTTCTCATACAAATTAATATGAGTTTGCTTAAGAGGACCTGACAAATCTTTGCCTGATTCAAATAAAATAATAGCATTGGACAGTATGAATACATATTTGATTATGGAGAATTGCAAAACACTATGAGTATTCCTACCTGGACAAATCATAAATATTGCAGCAGTAGAGGGAAATGTTGCCAGAGGTACTCTACAATAAAAGCAAAAGAAACAATCCTTATCAGCTAACTATCTTCAAATATGCACTCGTAAGTATATATTTATACTTCATATCTTAAAATATACCCATACACTATTAAAAGTGAAATGTTTAAAATACGTTTATGTGCAATGGGGAAAAACACTGAGAAATATTTTTAGTTTTAGTTTACTGAGGTAACTCTTCTGATCCCCTGCAGGAAGGTTATAATCTATCAAGGCATGCAACTTTTATCAATCTATCAAGGCATGCCTCCAGTTTTAAAATACATTTCTTCTACATTCAAGTGCTTCACTGTCATAAGAAGGCCAAAGTAATAAGTTTAGAAGAATAACTTCTCAGTCCAAAAATACAACTCAGAGCTTCCTTTTAGACCACTTCAGGAGAGGTGAATGATTACCAGTAAAACAGATGCATAAAAGCAGAATGACTTGTTTGCTCAGTTATGCCAGTATTGCATGATTAACCACACCAGATCATTTGACATACCTGGAACAGTTTTCCTCCTGAAATCTCAGAGACTGGCTCCTCACAATAAGGCAGACTGTGTTCTGAAAAAAATTCCTTCACTGCTTGCTCACTGAGTTCCACACCAACAACACTGTGCCCCATGTCCGCCAGCCTGCACACAAGAGAGAGAAGGCCCAGGTTTACATGAGGCCCACAGGCTGGGCAAAATGTGTATCTCCCATACATCATTTATTCATTAGGGAAAGCCTAGTTTTAGGAAGCCCTGATATGTCTAATTCTGACTATCTGAAGTGTTCACATTATACTGAACACCTCCCTTCCATGATCTGAGCTTAAATTAGCACCACTCAGCATACAGTTGATGAGGAGTTACATGCTTTATTTAGATTTAATGAATTATTAATTTATCCCTGCTAACTCACTGAAAACAGAGGTAATCACACTGAGAAACTGTCCATTTCAGAAAGGTGCTGTGCTCTGAACTGAGGTGACTGAGGCACAGTGTTCACCCAGCTGCCTCTGTGGCTTGGCAGGAATGGGCAGCAAAGGAGGTGCAGCAACCTCTGCACTGCTGCAGCTCAGCAAAACACCAACGTGTGTCAGAGCCCACAGTCAGCCTAGGAAGTAGGTACTGTGATAAAACCTGATAGCTGGATTAATTGAAGACATAGGTTTTGGATTGTGCTCCTTCCCTCCAGGAAAATCACTGACTTATATAGGCCCTACTTTTAAATACAACACTCCTTCCCCCTGCCCCCATCCCTTTCTGAAAGGGAAAAAAAAAAAAATAAAGTAAAAGTAAAATAAGAAATATAAAAAAGAGGAAGTTACATTTTACATTTAGCCCAAATCACTTAAATTTCCAGAGTAGCATGCCACATGGTGTCTTGAAAATGTCTAACACAACTGACCTCATTGTGGGCAGTTAAGCTGGCATTGCTACAAAAAGCAGCAGTGGTAAGGACATAGCTTCAGTCACTCTGTCCATGTAAATTCAGCATTCCTCAAGCCAAACTTGGGACAATCAGTAGGACTTTCAGATCAGACCTTATCCATTCAATTCATGCTACTATACGAAACATCAGACTCCTCCTCCCTTCAGCTTCCAGTCACACTGTTTTCCTAGCAGTGGAAATGTGGTGCATTTCTGCTGGCCAATATAAGGTTGGGAATTCCCCCTCTCCCTCCCACCCTCCCTCCCCACATCAAATAAGATTTTTGCTCTTATTATCTGTGTTTTACCATTTCATCTCTACTGCTTTACCACAAAGTGGGAAAAATATCCTCAGTCCACTCCTGCCATTTAAAAGAACATCCAGATACTTTTGGAGGAGCCTGCAGAAGAACAGACATGTTTTACTTCGCGAGTACTTGTGTTGGCACATGAAAAGCCAAGTGCTACACACTGTGCCAGGTAGCATAAATATCCATGATGGCACATATGTTATTAACTCAATCTGCTTCATGCCATTAGAAATGAAAACAAAATAAAAGCATTCACCTTCCACTTACACAGCAAGAAAGTAAATTTCACGTCATTCAGAAATTAACACATTTCTGTTTGTTCTATCTTCTGTTTGTCTTTGCAACTAAACAATTAAACCAATCCACCTCTAAGAGGATCATAATAGAGATTTTAAACAGAATGATTATGAAACTTCTGCATCAAGCAAATAACTTTTACAGGTCACGAAAGACTATATATAATCAAGTTTGTTCTCTTAGGTCCTTGTCTTTTACTGCATGGTAGTTGCTCTGATGCCTTCTGCACATTGTTTCAAGGCCCAGTTTCACAACATGAACAAGAGTGCAAAGCATCTCCATCAGAAAAATTCAAGATTTTCTAGCCAAACTATCTAAGCTTTAAGGTTTAAAACTTGATTCAAGAGTAAAAGCTCTAAATACTTTTCCATAATTTCTTTTCTCTGTCCTTTGACACATGTAGGACACAAAAATATCTATAGTAATTTTTGTTTCAAGCTGTGCCCACGTCAGATAATTTGATTTTTGCAAATGTTCCATTTTCAATTAAGAGTTTCTCGAATGAGCCAAGCCACTCATCTCATGGCATTACTTAAACAGCTTAGGCAGAAGAGTGAAGTCACGTACGGATGCTTGTGTTCCTTGTGAAACCCGATGTTACCCATTTCCCATTTCTGTAGCCATTCCTCCTCTGTCACCACTCTCTCTTTCTGAGACCCAACATCAGAGCCTTCCAGGAGCCCGGATTCATCCGCTGCGTGGTCCATATCTCCAGGGAGTGCTTGTAGCTGTGAAAAAAGAGAGAAGAATTACCCCCACCCAATGCATAGTTTGGAACTGGCTCTTAATTCCTCGAACCGGACAAAAATTTAGTAGATCTCAAGAGATCACCATTTGGTGACAGCGCAATGTACCGAACGCGACAGAGCAGCCGGCACACTCTTGCTCCCGACAGCCTGGGCCAGACCCTTTACCCGGGGCGGCTGAAGGCGCCTGTCCAGCACTGCGGGGCCGCCAGTGGCCTCCCTTTCCGCGCCCATCGAGAAGCCCCCCCACCCCGGGAACGAAGGAGGGAGATGCCGACATTTCTCTCCCGTGAAAGCCGCGGGCAGAAGGCGGAGGCGAGCGGCTGCTGGGGCCGGGGACCCGGGGCTGACCCGTGGCGGCTCAGCGCCTCTCGCCGCCCCGCTCGGCGCCCCCGGCCCGGCCGCGGTACCTGCCCGGCCGCGGGTCCCGTGCGGGCGGCGGGGCCGGGGCGGTGCCTCCCCGCCCTCCCCCTCGCCACGCACCGCGGAGAGCGGAAGCGGCGGCAGGAGGAGGCGGGCTGAGGGTGCACGGCACCGGGGAGGAGGAGGATGGCGGTGGGGATGGCGGCGGCGGTGAGTGACTCGCTCCCTCCCTCCCTCAGCTGCAGCGCCCACCGCGGGGCCGCTTGTTCCTCCCCGGGCCGGCGGGGCAGGTGCCAGCGCTGCCCCCGTCCTCACCTCCCCGCTTCGCTCTTCCTTCCCCCTTCTCTTTCTCCCTCCCTCCCTTCCTCCCCCGTTCTCCACCCTTTTCCCCCGCTGCAGCTCTAGCAGGAGGCGGTGCGGACACGCGTGAATGTGGTCTCCGGCCCCCGAGTGACCCGGCCCCGAGGTGAGTGCCAGGTGCCGAGCGCAGCGCTGCCCCGCCGCCGGGACCGCCCCGCCTGGCTCCGGGGCCGCCCGGCCGTGCCCCGCGGCCCCTCGGGATCCCGCCGGCTGTCACGCCGCGGGGGCTCCCGTGCCCGCGGCCCCTCGGGATCCCGCCGGCTGTCACGCCGCGGGGGCTCCCGTGCCCGCGGCCCCTCGGGATCCCGCCGGCTGTCACGCCGCGGGGGCTCCCGTGCCCGCGGCCCCTCGGGATCCCGCCGGCTGTCACGCCGCGGGGCCGGCGCTGTCAGCCGCGGCCGGCGGGGTTGGGCGCCGCCGCTTCACTAGGGCTGAGTTGTAGAGGTGTGTGCACTCCCCGTGTTAATCAGGCTGCTCTCGCTTCCTCCCCGTCTCTGATAGTGTGTGTCTGTGTGGTTTCTTTTGCCTTTTTTTTTTTTTTTTTTTTTTTTTTTTTTTTTTTTTTTTTTTTTTTTTTTTTTTTTTTTTTTTCTCTTCACCAAAGGCAAACTTGCTGCCAACTGTGCAGGTGAACCCTACAAAGATTTCCGATATAGGCCACGCATTACAGACGGATGAAACGTTATTGAATGTGACATTCACGCATTATGCATCCCTCTCCTTTTAAAGGGCTTATTTTCTCAGCCAGTAAGATGTCTACAGGATAGGATGCAAAGTCATGTAAAGCTTCGTAGAGTAAGCCATGTTTGTTTGTACTATAAAAATTTGTGGTTTTTTGGGAGGGTGTTTTTTGGTTTGTCAGGGGAAGTGGGCACAAAGTATCATACACCTGATCTTGTCCCTTTCTCCCCACCTCCCTCTTAACCCTAATTGAAGGGGTAAGAGCAAAAATATGTCTGCAATTCCGTACAGCTGACCTCTGCCTTTCAAAATGGTCAGCCTCTCTGAATCTGAAATATTTTTACCAAACTTCCTAGTGATTGGCACTTTTTCTACTCCCCACATACATAATGCAAAATTCACGTGTTCCTTTACCTTCTTGGATAAAAGGGCTCCACAGCAGCACCAGACTGTGATCACCTGATGGTCACCAAAATGAGTCACCTGGTGCCTTTCTCGGCACTCCGTCGCTCAGTTGGAAGCCTCCGACTGTAAGGACCGTGGCATGTCAGAACGATTATTTACCATCAGAAGATTAGGTGACACAGAGAGATACTGTTGTGCCACTGATACATAAAGAGAGTTGTAGGGGGTAAAAGCCACCACTTTCTGGGGCGTTATGCAGCAGTTTAGGGAAATCTCATGTAAATGAAACTGGTTGGTTTTCTTTATTCTCCAACCTCATCCACGCCCATACAGTGGTTAGTTACAGTGAAGTAATGCTAGTTGTTTTTTTTCTTTTTTTTCAGGGTTCGAGAGAAATTGACAATAACTTCTTCCTACCTCTGACTAGTTGTAATTGGAGGTGATACATGCAAGGAAGAAAGTTCAATTTTGTATTGGGTTGTTTGAACTAATTTTTCTCACGTGTGGATATCCTCATGTGATTTCTCTTCCTCTTGCAAATAACTTTTCCTGTCTTGAGAGGAGAATGAAGCACCAGTTTACTTGACTTGAATCAGCTTAATATAAAATTTAGTAAAAATTCCCACTCTCCTCCTGTTACCTTGACTTTTAATGGAATTTCTGAATGCAAATACTTCTGCCTTGTCCATCACTGACAGCATGCTTGAATAAGGAAGTTGCATCTTGAGACAGGGAGAATTGAGAAGTGTCATATATCTATCTATCTATCTATCTATCTATCTATCTATATATATATATATATATCTTAAAAAAGCCCTCCTGAAAAACATAATTACAAACTGATCCCCATTACAACAAAATAACATTCATGATGCAGTGCTGTAGTACAAGGGGTTAATTTTCACTTCTTTTCTGTATGTTGTAGAGCACTCTTTAGATATACTTCTTCCTCTAGGCTGTCTTTGTGCTTTATTCCCTGTGAAAAGAATGCCTTTGATTTTAAATATGCTTTCATATTTCTGCATTGTACTTTCTCACACTCTGGTTTCCAGCTTGCACGGTTAACTGTGGTCCATTCTTTGCTCCTACCAATGCAGTCAAAGACAGCTACAGAGCCCTCTCCTGTCATAAATATTTTATTTTGACCAATAGAATACTTAACAACAAACTTTGTGATATTCCAATCACTTACAGCAGCAATATTATGGTAGGCTAAACTTCAAATTCTGATCTCTTTCCATAGGAGGCTGTGCAAGTCTTGAAACTGGTTGTTCATCTGTTATTAAATGTCTCTTCAGTACACTGTTTGGAAAAGTGCTTTACCATGCAAATCTCTTGCTGCCAGTAAATCGGTAGTTAGCAGGATGAGTGTTACTCCAAGTGGTATTTGAATGCTTGCATCAGCATTAAGCTGATGTCTGTTTACTTTGCCAACCCAAATTCCAGTCCAGGTCTTCATGTAATGCAAATCAGATTATTGAAATCCAGGATATGCTCATCTGGAACATCCTGTCAAGATGTACTCAGGGATCTAATCTTAATGACGAATTTAGTTTAAAATAGTAGTATTGTTCCTTTCCCGTAATGCCTCATTCCCATTTTCCTCTCGAATTAACAGTCAAGCTGAACAGATTCTTACCTAGGTAACTCTGTGAAAAGTAGTATTGTGAGCAGCTGTGATAGCTCTGCAAAGTCAAGCAATTTAAATTAATTAACTATTGCCTACCTTTTTTCAGCTCTAACAATACGATGTCAACAGGAAGGGTACGAACGAAGAAAAAGGCATGTTCTTCAGATCACTCTCCAGACAACCTTCCTGTGAGGAGTTCTGGAAGACAGGTATTTATAATAATTTAAAAACACGTGGGTTTGTACTTTGCTATTTTTTATTTTCTGTTGACATTTGTAAAGGAAGTGGGCTTCCTTGTGGGTAAGTTAGGCCTTAGAGTACTTATCCACAGAGATGGAGAATGAGTTAATTCCGTGAATAAGCAGGTCAAGTGTCTCGTTTTGCAAACAATATTCAGAAAGGATAAATACTTTATATAACGTGTAAGTACTTAATGTGTACTTAATCACAAATTTCTGTACTGTCAAAGATGTCTGCCCATCCAGACAGAGGCCCAAAACAACATAATACACAGTACTTTTGAGGCCCAGAAGAGACATTTGGTATACAGTTTTGTATCCAAAAAATGCAAATACCCATACTAAACCTACCCTAATATTTTATTTGAGGCACAGATAGGATTGCCACTTGTAATTAATAACAATAAATATTATAAAAGTGGAGATTTTCTGAAGGAGAAATAAAATGAATGCATGAGGCTTGACTCATGATGGAGCTTAAAATACTATTTAAACTGGAAGCTCTGCTTATAATTTCTTCACTGCCATCAATTAGACCAAGGCAAGAAATTTTTAGATATAAATTATATTTCCAGTCTTACTGTGGGCTTGGAGGCTTTTTTGGTGGGTTTTTGTTTGGCTTTTTTTTTTTTTTTTTTTTTT